AAAAGTAAAACATTTTAAACATAAACTAAAATCTATACCAATGTAAAACATTTTAAACAAGTTGTTGTTCTTTAAAAGTAGGTTCATTAATCTACCCTTTTTCTTATCATCTCTATATCCTATATATCTATATCATATCCCCTTTTCTTTTTTAAAAAGAGATTGCATTTATAATTAACCTGTTTTAAATAAAAATATTGGTTTTTCTGTGTCCCACACCAGAGGGCTCTTCTGATTTGGTACACAAGAATCTCTTAACCATTTTTTTTTTTTTAAATATTTCTGGGTATAGAGGGGGAGTAAGCCAATTCCACCTCTAAAGTCAGCTTGGTATATTTGGGAATTTGGGCGTAGCATCTCTTCCTACTTCCTGCTGGAGGTGGGCACTGTATCTTATGGGAATGCAAAGAAAATTTTAGGCCTATGGGGTAGTCTGTGAGGCTGTGTGAGCCAGTTGCCTTGAAACCGCTCTGGATGTTGGGTTATCTGGGCCATGGTGTCATCGGAGACCTTTCAGGGGGTCTTGGCTGGTGAAACCTGATGTATCTTAATCGGGAACAAATCCATAGCCTCTGGCTTTCTGTAGAAACAAAAGCAGAGCCTCTTTTCCAAAGCAACATATCCTTACATCCAAATTTTGAAGTCAAGGTAGCTTTAAAATATACATATTGGTTTAATTCAACATCTTTTTCAATCAAATGTTTTTTTTTTTTGTAGTTAAAAATCCCAAAGACAACACAATCCAGATTCTCTGTGTAATATTCATCTTTACGTGGATTTTTTATATTAATTTATCTTTTTTTATCTCTTTTAAGCCTACCTATATTTTAAACACATTGTAAACTATTTTATCTGAATCAGTCTTATTGTGAGCCTATTGCTTTAAACTGCAGCATTCTAAGACTGAAACGGTGCTGTGGCTGCTGGCTCCGCCCACTTCAGCTTCCCAACATGTCATTTTCCGCCAGTTCTGTGAGCCATCAAGTCTCAGAAATAGTGGGTCTACGCTTTTATCAAAGCAGAGTGTAGACCAGAAACCTTTTTTTTTTCTTTAATACTAGTAAAGACTAAATCTACCACACAGCATAATGTGCCCCTGGCAGACGCCTCATTACCGCCATACTGTCGATCAAACACACATGCCAGGAACCCGCCAGTAGTTCAAACCCGCGTTTTGCAATGTGTAGCTACCCATATGAGACATGAAGCAGGAACCTGGTTTTGGCTCTGTTTAGAATTGGTTATTAAATATTCTCAGGTTTAAGGTGGGAACTCGAGCCGTTGGGCGCCATTTGTTGCTGGAGGGCTTCTCTCCAGGTTCCACCAAGCCCCACAATCCACATATAAAATAATCACTCAGATGCTTATATTACTTATAAACTGTATGGCCGTGGCAGGCTTCTTGCTAACTGTTCTTATATCTTAAATTAATCCATTTCTATAAATCTATACCTTTCCACATTGCTTGTGTCTTACCGGCATCTTTACATGCTGCTTGTCCTGGCGGTGGCTTGCAGTGTCTCCCCCTCCTTCCTGTTCCCTCAATTCTCTTCCTTGTCCCACCTATACTTCCTGCCTGGTCACTGGCCAGTGTTTTATTTATATAGAGCGATATCCGATATCCACAGCATTCTTTCTCTCTCTCTCTCTCTCTCTCTCTCTCTCTC